AGGAGAAGGAGAAGGAGAAGGAGAAGGAGAAGGAGAAGGAGAAGGAGAAGGAGAAGGAGAAGGAGAAGGAGAAGAAGAAGGAGAAGGAGAAGGAGAAGGAGAAGGAGAAGGAGAAGGAGAAGGAGAAGGAGAAGGAGAAGGAGAAGAAGAAGAAGAAGAAGAAGAAGAAGAAGAAGAAGAAGAAGAAGAAGAAGAAGAAGAAGAAGAAGAAGAAATAAATAAATCCCAGAAGATCATTACTTTGAGTCATTGATACTAGTTTAAGAAACATTTTTCTGCCCATATTATCCATAACTATTTTCAGTGGCTTTTTCTCACTTAGCTAAGAAACCATCAAATGAAAAATGGTAGATTTCTATTAAAAATAGAAGACAGAATCCAAGCACCACTGTTAATGAAGTGGTTTTAAAATATATATATTCAATCAAGAGTAATTGAGGCTGGGCTTTATAAGTCATGGAAAATTATAAACTACAGCCACTCTAGGGCACGACTGACTATTAACATTGTTTTCACATCATTGCCTACAGAAAGCAGCTGGGCACTATGCCACCAGGGAGGTGCAACAGAATGGCCTCATTCCCTAAACAGACTTACAAAGAAGGGGACAATCAGGTGGGCTGATGAACCAAACGTCACTGGATAAAGTTTTGACAAAGAACAAAGTAGAACTGTCTCAAGAGCAAGCTATGAAATGGCTTATACATCAGAGAAACACTTATTGGATATATTTATTAAACATCTATTTTGCATATTTGCATCAATCATCCCAGTTAATTTAATTCTAAAAAACTACTATATGTAGCCCATTTTATTCCATGTCCATGTAAAGGTAGAAAGTGGAGTTTACAAAAGACAGTGTCACAATGAATCCAGGCCAGAGCTACCATTTAGTTTTCTGCTCCTGGGGTGCTTTCATGGGCCCATTGGGTGCTAAGTTTGCTGTATAATACCCAGCCATAGCTCACTAAGGCCCAATCAATCCCAGTTAACCAAAATCTCTGGTGCCTACCATTTTCTTTAATGTATTTTCCTATTTCACTCAGACTGGAAGATAAAGCTTTCTATTTCAAACCAGGTCATTGACAAGAGTGAGGATGTGTCCAGATAGCTCATGTTGGCTGATGGAGATGACATGGTGAATTTGAATATTTCTAAGATGATGTTACTTGGAGAAATGATCTGTTTTAGAGCATCTCTACTGCCCAGGAATGTCAGTGGTTTTCGAAGGAAGATGGGAACCTACAGATCACGACCCTGAGTGTCTAAGTTGTCTATCCATCCTTTTCCATTCTTTTTTTATTTTCTTTCCCTGCCTTTCTTCTCCCTGTGTTAGATCAGAACCTAGAAAGAGGCAGAGACCTGGCTTGGCTATAGGCTGATACTAGAGTAAATCTTCTGTTCATCCTAGTAAATTCTTCTTATGAGACTGCTTCGTTGTCGTATTCCTCCGTGTGTGTGTGTGTGTGTGTGTGTGTGTGTGTGTGTGTGTGTGTGTGTACCAATGGATGTTAGTGTGAAGAACAGAGGTAAGTTTCAGGTATTGGTCCTCACAAGAGCTGATCACCTTGTTTTTTTTGAGACACGTTCCCTCACTGGTTCACAAAGCAGGCTAAACTAGCCGACCACTGAGCCCCAGTAACCTGCCTCTTTCCATGCTGGGATACAATGTCACCATGTCTGGCTTTGTTTTAACATGTGTTCTAAGTATCAAAGTCAGGTCTTCATATTTGCATGGCAAGTCTTTTACAGACTGAGCCTATCTCCATGGGTCCCCCAAATTCTTTTAAAGAAGTAGAGAAAAAAGTTAAAATTCTATTTTAGGTAAACTGTATGACTTATACTGTTTTGCCATAGCTGAAAGCAGCACCATATAAGAGAAGGAAATCTGAACCAAGTGACAAAGGAGCCAGCTTCAAATTTACCATTGATTACCGGTGTGACCTCAGGGTGCTCATTAACCTCACTAAGTCAATTTCTTCAACTTCAGGGGGAACTAATGATTTTCATTTACTTCACAAGATGCAAAGATTAAGTCACATAGTATGAAAGCCTTTGGAAGGTTTCAAATGCTACAGAAGCCACAGGCTTGTGACTTGTCCCAAAGAACCCCATGTTGGATACATGCAATTCCCAAATATCTGTACTGGAGGTAGAGCAGCATGCAAGAGCAACAGCCTTCAGATCAAATCACTGCTGTTCCCACGGTGACCTGTTCCTTACTACATGGACACCCTGGAACAAATTAATTAGCTTCCTGATGTCTCAGGCTTTTGTTGGTGCTGCTGCCCCTGTTTGCTTGTTTATAAAGTGAAATAGCAGCACTTTGTAGGTATGTGTAGAGAAGACCTCACTTGTAGAAAGGGCCACAGTGATGATTTTCTAGTGAATGTCTCACCACAAGATTTCTGGACAACAGCAACAAGTGGCCCGTGTTTAGAGTTTGCTGTTTTCCATGGTGTACCCTCATGGCCTCAAAAAACTTACATTTCCAATATGGTGCCACTGAACAACCCATGGGAAAGGGAGGCACACTATATGCTTGTAAGTCAGCCTGCACCAGAAATCTATGTGAAGGTACAGACCAGATTTCTAGCAACTTACTGGAAGTATCAACAAGTGTTCTGCCACCTTATGCTTGTGTGGGCCCTGTCTTCGAACACTCAGATGCTGAAGCGCACGCTGAAGCAAGCTTGAGAAAACAAACCTACAAGATATCCTGCTAGACTAAAGGAAAGAAAGGTGGTTGCTGGGGGAGGGAAAGAAGGCACAACCGGTGCTTCTGTGAGGACCAAGGTGGACACGAGAGGAATCTCATGAAGGGGGAGAAACCATCCCCCTAACACACACACACACACACACACACACACACACACACACACACACACACACACACACACACAAAACATCCACACGGTGAGGGTCCTGAAATTTATACTCACTCTCACTGTCATGTAAACACTCCTCATTCCATCATCACCTAGGTAACTGCAAAAGTGCAAGATCAGTTGCCTGGCAACAATGTCTACATCTTTACTCCTCTCTGTACCCATGCACCATGACCATCAGTCACACTCCTTTTGGGGGGTTTTGGTGAGTTTCAAACACATATCTCTACTGCGGCCCCCAGCCTGGAACCAAGACCAGGAGCCGTTTTACCATGTTTTGAGAAACCCACACTTCTGCCCACAGAAGACTAGCATCAAAGACAAAGAGCTCGTGGCAGCAGCCAGGGACTTGGAGTCTAGGTCCAGTTCCATATTGAGCCAGCTGTTGTGGGTCTCAGGAAGGTGTCTAGACTCCTCTGAGTCTGTATTTCTTCATCAGCCAGATGCAGATTTCCCGAAAATTTATACAAAGATTTTCTTTCTTCTGAAAAATGGAGGATTATAAAGCGTTCTGGGTCTCCACACCAAGTGGTCTGTGGGTCCATGTATAGGATGAGTTCTCTGGAGTGTGTGAAGTCCAAGAGGGAGACTGGCCAGCGGTGCTGGCATCAAATATATCCTGAGCCTCTCCAGTGTTCTCCAAAGCCAGGCTGAGACTTTGGCACCAGGAAGCCCAGAGAGAAGTGAAGACAAGCCTCTTCCAGAACGAAGCAGGTGACAAGTCCTAATGGATTCTGAAGAGGGCTTGTGTTCCTGCCCTTAGCCATTGTCCAGCCATTTGTAGCCCGGAATCCTTCCCAGAAGCTCTTTCTCTCAGAAAAGGAAATTGGCAGCCCTGGGAAGTGAGCAGCTCTCCGCTTGGACTTGATTGGGGACCAATTTGGGCCTGTTAGCCGAGCCTCCGGTATCATCTCAGCCAATTACTGGCCCAGCCTGGCCTGCAGCTGGCTGCTCCCTTCCAAGCCGGACACTTTTATTCCAGCAGAACAATCCCCTGCTCCAGAGCAAAGAGACCAGGGTGACTGTGGCCCATTAAAAAGTATGTCCAGAGACATAATTCACTCAGTAAGATAATGGAGTAGGCAGGGCTTCACCTGCAGCTTTAATTGAAAAAAAAAAAAAAAAAAAAACCACCTCAATAAACAGACTTGTGGCTTTTGGGTAATAAGTATGGGAATTTACAAACTCTCCTGGCTATTGGGCTCTGATGACTATTAAAGTTCATGTCTGGCAGTGGAATTTTGGCCTGATGGACTAAGTTACTCGGCCTCTGCCAAACCAAACAGGCTGGCAACCAGAAGGGAAGCCTGAGGGATAGAGCTCACGCCGCCCATTTCTCCAGGACTCCAAGGGCTCCTTTGGACTGGGCTACCCACAGATCAAGACCGGCTGCTAAGAATGTTAGTGCTCACCCAAAGATTCGCCATTCCGCTCCTTCCTTGGCTCTGTAAAATACTGTTCTGGCAAGTTCAAATTACAAAGACCATGCACACCTGTGACTCCAACACTGTGGGGCAGAGAGGCAAACCCTGGGAGTTTCCTGGCCAGCTAGCCACACTGACATGGTGAGTTTCAGATTGGGTGAGAGATCCTGGCTTAAAACAGTAAGGTAGAGAGCAATCAAGGAAGACAGTGATGTCTTCCTCTGGCCTTCACGTGCATATCTATGCATGTCTGTGTACACATACAAACATTTAACACACATGCACATTAAACTAACAAAAAATAAAAAGTAAATAAAGAAGAAACTAGCCCTGACATCCACTTCCTTCCAAAAGTCATCCCCCTCCAGGACTGCAAGGGTTAACAGCACCAAGCTCCTTCCACTATGGCAAGAAGCATCATTTCCTTGCATTCTCTGCTCCCAGTTTCCAGTTTCTTTTCTGTCTCTTGTCTGGGGTGAGGGCACAGTTTGGGCTGCTCCTCTCTCTACCCCAGCAGCAATTCTCTTCTCTTGTTGCCTGGTGCCAGGGGCTCACTAAGAGCACGAGTCTTGTTTCCTTCTTCCAGGCATGGCCCTTCTCTGTAACTCCCGAGGACTTACTCACGGGACTGCAAGCGAACCTAGAACACAGCCACTTGAACATCAGAGTCTCCTGCAATACTATGCAAGTAGCTACAATGTAGAAGCAACCTAGGTGTCCAGCAACAGAGGGATGCATGCAGAAAAGGGAAATTGGTACACAAGTGCAATAGAATTCTTTTCAAACATAAAGAGGAAGACAGTAATATAATTTACAGGAAAATGGATGTGACTGGAGATAATGATATTCAGTGAATCGAGTCAACCTCAGAAGGGCTAATACATATTTTCTCTTGTTTGTTGGCCATTTGTATTTCATCTTTTGAGAACTGTCCATTTCATATCAGCTGACTCTAACATCCTGTCCCCGGGCTAGTGGCCCCCTCCTTCATGCCCCATGCTCTAAATTCTTTCTACTTTCCACGGCTATGGCTTGGTTACAGGTACACCTATTGGGGTACCTGCTTCCATCATGGCTTGGACTGAGTACTGCAAAACAAAAAGGAACCACATTCCCTCCATGTGCTTTTCTTCCCACAGGCCATATGAAATGCATTGTGGATAATGATGACCTAGGAAGATATTATACTTTAAGCCATAGAGACTCCTAAACACCCACCTCACAGAACTATAACTTAACTGTGCTGCCCTGGAACAAGATAGACCCAGCTCACTGAGTCTGGGTCCCTGAGACAATTATGGGAAGGGACTTGGCCTTCTCTACTCCTTATCTACAATCCTTCAGACAGGGTCATATAAATGCAACAACTTCAAAAGCATGAGCTTATGGGAGAGGAAGGGAACACAACTTTGGTAATCTACACACATTTTCATTATTATTAACTCTCCGTGTTTTCAAAGTCTCACATCGTCTCTCTCGGAGTCTTTCATTGACCACAATACAGTGCTTAAATGCAAAGAAGAGGTGATGAAATAGGAATCCAGCTGAGATTTGAGAAACACAGCAGGAAGTAACAGAAATGTCCCCAAGTTATACATAGTGTAACTGTGGCCTAATGTGGGGTTTCCCAGAGCATTCTCCTTAGTGTATGGTCAAGACTATTTAAGCTTCAAGATAAAGATAACGAGAGGAAATGATAATGTCACATTCATACAAGCAGAGCTACCAATTCACAACTATAGATGACATAGTCTTAAGGATAGGGAGAGAGTCTTCCACATAGCATGGGAGCAGGTGGCCATTTATCTTTCAGCAGATGAACTGGCAGACAGGGAAAAAGGAAACCTGATCCCTGCATTTAGAAAGTCCATCATCTACTGACAGCTTAAAACCAGTAGGGCTGAAATTAGCCTTGTAAACCTAAGTTCAAAACCAACCAACTGTACAACGTACCCTGGGACCTGATTGAATTCTATTTCCATGAAGTCTCAAGATCTCTATTTAGCCTAAGATTCCCAGCCAGTGACGCATGTGCTGTAATCAGTATCTAAAACAATAAAACCTCCCCTAGCAGGAAAAGTACTCAAAGAAGCCCTTGGGGTCTTAGTTAAAAGGCCTGGCTTATGTAATAAACACTTACTGTTTTAACTGGGCACCTAAGAACATCAAGTGAGAGATCAGGTGAGCTGCAACCCTGACAGTCATCAAGAGGATCCAGGTCAGCAGAACTGAATAACACTTTAGTCTCAGAATTTTCCAAAGTATATACTTTCAGATATTTCTGGATATTTTACCTAGAAATTATTACTTTATAAATGTCTTCACAATGAAACTTTCAATGTGATTCTTAGAAAGGGGATCAGACATGTATCCTGTCTTAATTGTTTCTCACTTATTTGATGGGAACCATTTATCTTTTCTACCAAACCCCACTCGGCTCTCTGTAGAACACCATCAGGGATGGAGGTGATGGGAATCCTGTGAGCTTTCTACAGAGCTGGCTGCTCTGTTGTGATATCACCAGCATCTAGGACAGAACCTGGCAGATAAGGTGCTTGGAGAGTAGACATTATGTATAGAACTGAGCCTGCTATCCTGAGTTCAGGGATGACTCTTCATAGCCTTGGACCTATACAGATACTCCAAAGCCAAGGGACAAGGAGTTTAATGATGCCTCTGTTTCCATTACCAGGATCCAATCAGAGATCAGCCCAGAACACAGGGACTTCCTAGGTGAACTCAGATAGCCCATATGTGCACCTCGAATGTTGTATAAACTGTGCTTCTTTGTGGACAGCCACATTCTCTTGCAATGGCAAACAATTTGTGGACCCCATCTCACAATTTGAGGTGACTAACAGCTCCTAACTACCCCAAAGTCACCGTCACACAGGACATAGCATTTTCATCTGAGAGTAGCCAGTGTTTCAAACAGCTCATATTTTGGACAATGGTTTAACAGGCATGCTCATGCCAATTTGCATTTCCAATAGTCTCCATGAACAAAATCCTGTAACATTCTGCTGTTTCTGGGCATACCCCATTAAAAGTGCCTGAAAATTATAGAAATTATTTTATCATCTGCATTAATTTCCTCTTGAAACATCTCAACACATCAACTCAAAATGAAGCATCAGAATTCTGCAGTTGCATTTAAATATGTTAATAACCACAGGTAAACAAACTCGAGGCTGAAATTGTCCACAAAGAATAGAGGGCAGCTTGTTGGAGGTTCACAAACACAATGCAGTATAATTATATGCTGAGACACTTAACCTCAAGAACACACGGAAAATTTACAAAGATCAATTGCTCATAAAAAAAAGAAAAGAAAAAAGTTGTTAATCAAATGAGAGAGTTATCTAGTAAATGGTTAGAAAATTGATGGGAATTCCTTTGATAACACCATTTTGATTTGATTAGTTGTACTATTTTTATATCTTTAGTAAACAGAGTTTGATTAAACCATAGAGCTCTTTTACTGCAGAAATATTACAAACTCATTAGTGGCGAAGAAGAAAGTCTAGAAGGAAGATTCAAAACTCATTTTTAAAAGCACCGCTACAAGCTCTCCTCGTTCTCTGCTTGTATTGAGAGGTCAAAAGCAGGCCTCCCGAGCAGCTCGGGCTGGGTGGGATAAATAAGGCAGGTTACTGAAGGCAAGTGAGGGGCCAAGGGGCCAACAGCATCGGCTTCTTCAGCAGTCTGTCTTTTGGCTGGAAGATTGATACCTGGGAAATTAGCCCTCTACTCAGGTTCTGAACCTCATTAATTAAAGAATTTAAGAATCAACTCAAATGGAAGCTGGAATACAATTTTATTAGAATTTTTAAAGAACAAATCCCAGGGCAGGCAAGCTGGAAAATTTTGGCAGCTTCCCAGGTGAGGAGAATGGAAGAGAGATGGAAAAAGGCCATGCCATTTGCATTGCAGGCATAAGATCAGCCACACAGAAGCAGGCAGCCACGTAGTGGGAGGAACGGTTCAGAGACAGAGGAAGGAAGTCCAGAGTATCAGAAGGAGCATGCTCATGCTCTGGCCAGATTCCAAAAGAAAGAGACAGGAAGAAGGAAAAGTAGCATCTGACTCAAAAAGGTAGGTTGACTCAAAAATGTAGGTGGACTCAACTGAATTCTAATGACTGCTCGGCTTGTAAGGACCTCACTGGGGAGGAGGGAATTCTGGGAAGAAAGTTAGTATCTCATTAGAGGAATAATTACTATCTCTTTAGCATGGCTTACGGTGCCAGCTTCTTTAGAAGTGGTTCCTTGGCCAGGTGATGGATCCAGTACAACTGGAATGTTAGCTTTTCACCCAGGTCAGCTATTCTACTCTCCTGACAGATTGCTGCTCTAACAAGATGGCCATCTGTATCTTTTCTTCTCCCTGTAGCTGCCAATGTCCAACCTGCCTCTTCTTACAAGGACACTCACCACAGTGGGTTAGATTTCAAGATCTGTCTCCAACTACAGTCATATTAGATAGGGCAGGGAGCTCAACATAGGAATTGGGGGATGGGGCACAACTTAATGCTAAATCTCCGCCACCATTTTGAAGAGTGTTGCTTCCTTGCAATAATTACTCTCGAACATTCACAGGATGCAGACCTGTCACCCACGTCAAATCACTAGCGATCCTGTTGACATTCAGCTCCTAAGATGTCCCCGCCCCTCACATAGATCCCTACAGCAGCTTCTTCCCTGACCTCTGCTGACAGGAGCAGCCTGAGTGATCTTCCACAGAAAAGTCTTACAGCTGCCTCCCTGCTTAAAATATCTCCTGGTTATTTAAGTATCCAAAAGTTCTAAAACGTTGTCAGCTATATTTATATGTATTTAATGAAAGGAAAGAATCAAAATATGCAAGTATGCACTTGTAAAGAGTTCTGTGACAGCATCGTTTAGAGAAGACAAGCCACCTAGATCCGGTAACACACGAATACAAAGCAGGTGAACAGCCATGTATTAAAGTAGCCACAGGGAGGCTAAGGCCAGGGAATATTTACAACAATGAAAAAGGGGGGGGGAGGTCTTGTCTGTTAAATTAAAATAATAAAATCTGAATAAGTAATGATTTCTGTGGATATACTTTGTATTATTTAAAGAATAATTAAATGTAGTGTGAAAATCAATTATGTAAAGATAAATATCAAATTTTTTCCCCGATTGGGTGGGGTTAAAGCGAATTTTATTTGCTTCAATTCTTTAATAATGTATACTGTTTATATTATTAAGGCCTTAAGTTTTAAAAGCAATAATTCTGACACTTTCTCCATCATCCCAGACATAAATTCAGGATTTTGAGCATGTTGTCAAGAGCTTTGGTACTCAAGTCAGACTACCGTTCCCACCTCCTCCTCCTCCTCACCACTCCCTGTTCCCCAGGAGGAACCACAGAGATTAAATAACTAAAATGAGTTTGTAGGCATTGTATCCTAGAGCCTAGAGACAAACCAAGTGTGGTTCAACCTTTAAACCCTGCAGGCTTAGTTGTAACTGACTTCCTGGTAATGAATAATACACACACACTCCTTCTCCATGCCATCACCTTGAATGTTCAGATCTTAACATAAATTTGCTTGCAAGAGGATGAGCATTAATACTACAGCAGTTATAGTCAGACCAGTTATATTCAGTCTTGATTACTTTTTTAAGGGAAAAAATGTTTAATATTTTATTTTTTACATGTGTGTGTGTGTGTGTGTGTGTGTGTGTGTGTGTGTGTGTGTGTGTGTGTGTGCATGGTGGGTATGTGCACATGAGTGAAGGTACCTGTGGGGGCCAGGAGAGGATGTCAGATCCCCTGGAGCTAGAGTTATAGACAGTTGTGAGACACCTGACTTGAGTGCTGAGAACCAAACTTTGGTCCTATGCAAGAGCAGCAAGTGTTCTTAACTGCTGAGCTGTCTCTCCAACCCCCTTGATTTCTTAATTTGTGAGAACTCCACAAGACCTCAAAGGACTCACCATTTTCCCTGTCATTCCTCACTCACTACCACAGAGTAAGCTTGGACTTTTATATATTTAACATTTACTATTCCTGTTTGTGAAAGAAATTCCTATGTGACAGCAGGTATGAAGTAGACGTACAAATCAAACATCTCATGATAATGAATTACAAATTCATTGAAAGACAATTGCTTGATATACATATAATTTTACTATCAATTAAAGATGGATGTAAATTTGTTTCCTAATGAGATAGGTGTGCTTTGTTTATTTTATGCAAATATTAAAGTATGACTGAATATTTGATACCACAAAATGTAGATCATCTCTAATGTTTGTAAGGCTGTTAGATATTTTGATCTTATAATCAGTGCTAAGAATACCTCTTTGGAATAATGTTCAAATGGTGCAAAATGGTGGTAGGATATTGAGTGCCATTCAAAACTGCCAGAAATTCTGTCCAAATCCCAAGCCAAAACTCACTGAATGATTTTTTAAAAATGAAATTCAAGTCAGCAATTCAAACAAAACTTTTTAAAAATCAAATATTTTAATATAATGCAATCCCAATATATACTAATTTGATAATTATATCCTGAGGGATAATGGCAGAAAAATATGTAAAGACTTTGTTTTCTGCATTTAGACCATTATGATTTTATTGGAAAACTTTGTGTGTACAGTAAAAGCTCCTCAATGTATAAAATACACTAGCTCACGTCTGAGCTGAGCTGTTTGGGGCAGCTTTCTTTGACATTGGATGGTGTGACAGGCTGCTCAATGCAAAGGGCACATGCTGTGTTTTCAGAACCAAGGCTACAATGAAATCACAAGATGCTACACAGGCAGTCACTGGTAGAAACCCCTTGAATTCATTACAAGGTTTGATTTTTGAATTAATGTTTGGCCTTTGAACATTCAGAAACCTTTTACTGTCTCCAAAGATTTATAACCCCTGCATCCAAGTGTGTGACCCCCCATATGGGATCATAGCCCACAGTACAAGAAACTGGGATCTAAACTGCCATATCTTCCTCCTGGACCAATGAGATGTCACTGAGCACATGCTTAATTCAACTGGCATGTTGTAGCAAGACTTGCTATTGAGGAATAAGTTCATTGATGAGTATTCTGGAGGAGGTTACTTCTCCACTGCTTACAGATGACAGAGCAGTATCAGCCCATAGCACTCATCTTGAGTGGCATACTATGCATTCTTAAATAACAGTGTATTTCTTCATTGAATCAGATCATGCATTCAGTATAGAATGTTATATGTCCTAAACTAAGTGTATAATTTGGTAGCATTTTATTTAAAACACTTGTCTAGTTACTGTCTGACACTTGTCTAGTTACTGTATGCAAATATATGTTTTTGAGTGTCCATAAGGCTCCTCTCATCCTTCATGTTAGAGATAAGCACTATCCTGAATTCCATCGCAACAGATTAGTTTCCCTGTTCTTGAACTTGAAATAAATGAATCAGTCCCTGTGTGCTACTGCACACAAGGTTAAGGGTGTGATAGTCATCCATATTGCCACACACACAATGTTTCATTTTTTCCCATGGCCCTGACTTTACATGTCGTGCTTCCCCGATTCTGTCTTTGCATTCTGGTCTTTTATCCATGAATATGCCAGGCATTCTTCAGGTGAATACTTCTTCATGCATTTTCACTGTCTCTGCCACTCAACTCTAGTTTGTGCTCTAGATTTAAGATTTGCCCTTCCTTCCTTAATTAAAGTTTTTCCTGACAACCCCTGCCTTTGCCTAAGGCTAGACCAGTTTCCTCATTCTTCTCTCTGCTGACCACTCTCAGCAGAGACGATTTTTTTTTTTCTGAGAGCACGAGTCACACATGCCCCCTGTGCTGGTGACCACCACACCCCATCACTGTAGCGACTCAGCTCTTTCATCAACAAAGGAATACACAAGAACAGTGTCCAGCTCAGAGTCTGGCCCACTTCAGCCCACAGGCACTGTGCTTTCAGCCCTCCTCTTCCCTTTCATTATGAAGTCTGAATGCTACACAGTATGTTCTCTGCCCAACAATGCCCACCCTGTAGAGAAGGCCCAGGAGAAGCCACATCACAGTTGCTCTACATGATGATTCTTGAAATGTTTGGACTAGCAGTGAAGGTCTAGGGAAGGTCTGTCTCATACTTCACAATGAACTGGGGCATGTTTTTTTTTTTTGTTTTTTTTTTTACAGAACTTCCAGAAAGAACCCCCATGACAACCACTAAGAAGAATGTGAACAAGGATGAGCAGAAGGGGAAAATAAGGATGAGAAGAAAGAAAACCAAACGCTGGCTTTCTCAGGATGGTGAGATGCTGTGAAACTGACTTCTCTGTACTTTGATTTCTTAATTCTCTGTGTGTAATATGCTTTGTGTGCATGGTAATACAGTGTTAACTCTATGAAAACGTCTCTGCCCTGATGTACAATGACGCATAAGGAACTAATTGAAATGTATTCTATCATTGATACACAGGGGCAGTTCCCACAGCCTAGGGAATGAAGCCTTTCCCTAGACAGCCTGGGGAGAGGCAGAGAGAACACAAACAAAAATAACCATGGGTCAGTCACCTTCTCAGATCATAGACTAACCAGAGAGCATGTGCCCAAATAAGTCTGTAATTCCCCACTAGCTAGGGATGCTCAGAAAGAAAGTTGCTAGGTCTCTAGAGACAAAAGTCCCAAGTCCCTGCAAAGATTTGACAGCAGTTGGCCTGGCCACTGCTCTAGGTGGTCTTGATGTTGCCCACTTTAACTCCCTTCCTTGAGCACATCAATCTTCATGTCGTCATTTTCTACCCTTCACCACCTCCATGCAGAAGCTCCCAGTCTCAACAATTGGACTTGAAACCAGCTCCTGTAATTAAGCTGAGCACAGCTCTGATCTGAGTTGCTCACGAGGTCCTGCATCAGAACCATGCCCTCCCTGGCCCTGAACATTTTACATTCATTGATAAGATTCAATGACAACAGAGGGCCTTAAAGGCAGTGTTTCTAATTGGAGTGGCCTGTTCAAAGCCAGCTCTAGTACTATCTGCATGATGCTGACCAAACTTGTGGGCATCTCCATGCCCAGGCTTACATTCTGTAAAATGATGATGTTGATCAAACATTCCTACCTCAGAGGTCAGCAGGGGGGAGCAGGGGGCTCACCTGTGCTAAACACTCAGCAGCCTGAGGATGAGGAGGACTCTTCTGCTCTGTTTCTGTGAGGAAAAGAGCAGAGCTTCTAGAAATCTTTTATTGACTAAGATTAGAATGAAAACCCCTCAGATCTTGGTCCTCCACCACCTGATCTAGGAATTGTTCATTAATTTTTGGTTCTAGAAGCAGCAAAACAAATTTGCATCTTTTTTTTCCCTGGAGAAACCCCAGAGGGACAGTGAGAGGCAAAGTGAGAGAGGGGTGGAGAAAGAACAGTGGCAGAGAAAAGAGAGGGAGAGAGAGACAGGGAGGCAGAACAGATTGAAACTGCCAGCCTGGCAGCAGGAATGAAGCCTCGGAAAAGATGCTCACTTGCCAGCTGGGTTTCGCCAGCTTTTTTTTTTTTTTTTTTAAATTTTCTTTTCCATTTGTGTTCACACTTCTCCCTCTTGTGGTTCATCAGAAAACCACATGTGCTGTTCTGCGCTCAAAACTGGTCAATGCGCCTGGCTAAGGCAAGTCAGGCAAAGACAACTAGGTCAAACGCTGCTTGAATTACAGAATGGGGAGAGGAAGCCAGGATATGTGCTATACACCTCCCAAGTCCTTTTCCGAATGTCATGTGATCAAAGAGAACCCTCCACTCTCATTTTTAAAGGGAAGAATAGCCCCAAGAGACACACACAGCCAAATCCTCTGAGGGAGACCCCCAAGGGGCTTAAGGAGCTGCTGGGATAGAGTCATTTCAGGACAAGTCAGCGGAGAGACAGATGATATGTACAAGCAAGTCCGAAGGAGAACTGATCCTCTATTGCTATACTTACCCCACTGAAGCCAGCTCATGCCAATTTGCTACACTGTCACTGACACCCAAAGCACCCCTTCTTTAAAAGGTTGGGTAAATGTCACTCTTCGTAATGCCTTCTGACAACTCTTTCTTAGGCCCTTACCTCTAGTGGATATGTGCTGTCTCTCCTCTCCCTGCTATGCCTTGTCTCTTTCCATAATGCAGCCCCAGCCTGCTTGGCTTTCTGTTGGAATTATGGCTGCCCTCCTCTAGGGCTAAAAAGGAAAAGCCTGGCCTCTGTGCAGCTCCAGGGATCCAGCCTCCTGTATAGAAGGTATGCATGCACATTTCGTGAATGTGAGTCACCCACATACAATGTCTCCATTCCATGACAGAGGGACTAGGAGACACTGTATCGGAATGCAGGCTAATCTCAAAAGGCACTGAGACCTTCCCCTGAGAACTCTGCAAAGACAGCTATCTATGTTAAACCATAGCCCACCTGCACTTAAATGATCCCTGCAACTTATCTTCAAATACTTCAGGAAGAGGCAGGGAGGGAGGGAGGGAAGGAGGAGGGAGGGAGAGGGCATACAGAAGAGAGGGAGGGAGGGAAGAAATTGAGGAGTTCAGGAGAGATGAAGAACAGGAAGAAGAAAGGGGAGAAGAGGCTACAATGGACAGTGAAATCCAGCTGCAGGATACATTGATGCCCATATTCATTGAAATTTTCTTCATATCTTTCTCAATTTTGAATTATTGCAAAGACAAAAAGTTAAAACAAATGTAAAATCAACTGTATTTAAGATGGCTTACAAGTTTAAAAGTATTTAAGATGGCTTACAAGTTTAAAAGTGAAGTAAATACGTGGGTAAAAAATAAAACCAGAATACAAGTCAAAATGAGTTTTCCATCCCAGAGCATAGGTGGGCGTTAGGGCTTACAAACTAAACATAACTGAGTATAAATTCTGTGAGTGCATATTTTTCTAGGAAGACATTATTTACAGCTTTTATTAAACATCACAGGTTTATTAAGTCCCATATCCCCCAAAAGTGTTAAAATAGTGGCTTACAGAGATACAAAAGAATTACTATTAAGTATTCAACAGTTGGAGAGAATAGACTGAACCAGTCTTACAGAGACAAGAAACAGCTTGGAAAGCATTCAGTTAGGACACTCCCACCCCATCCACACGGGAAAGGCAAGCCCAAAGAAAGGTCAGCAAGATGGATTCCAACAAATGTAGCATGTATCACTGATTCCTAAATAACTAAGACCACAATGATTTCCTTATGTCATGGGGCTTCCCTGTCTCCTAGAAAAGCCATTCTGTAAAACATTACCAGACAACAATGGCCATCTTGTCAGCTCTCATAGACAAGGCCATGCATCTTTATTTGAAACCAGATGGATGCATTCTCACAGGGCTGATTGCAAAGGAAGCTTTGTAGAGGGGGGGTTGAGGCATATCACAGGAACCACAGATATTCTCAGCTGTAAGATAGATGGAGCAGACCACTAACTAAGATTGATGGATGGTGCCAGCCCTGGCAGGCCAAACACAATGCTGGGATGGCCAAGTGGGGGAAGAAAATTAGTTTGCAAGATTAGAACATATTAACACAAGTCAGACAACTGTCATGTCACAGCTCCTCACCGTAATGCTGATTGGCAGGCAAGCATTTCTGATTCTGATGGCCATGGAGGCGAAGCGTCTGCAATCTGTCTCGCATGACATTCCACCGGCTGGCAAGTCCCTGCTGCTGGAGAAGTCAGCTTTTCTTAGAAATCTCTGTCCCCTTGGGTCTTGTTTGGCAGGCCCCAGGCCAAAGGTACATGGTGAGGTGGGACAGGGCAGGGTAGATGTAGTAGCTATCCATGGTTTCAGCTGCCAAGGGAGGCTTTCTCAACTTCGTTCAACAAGTACTGTTGGACAACTCTCAGACCTGGTACTAGGCTGGGCAGAGTAGAGAGATGCAAGAGATGAGGCCTCACATCACCAGAGAACCCAGACCTAGATGTGTGGTCAAGTTCAGTAATGAAGCAAAGCAGGCCAGTTTTAGTAGTGGTCCCTTGGTTAAACCTTGTCTGGTTGATTCCATCTCAACTCCATCACTCCTCTCTGGACCCCGCAGCAGATAAATCTAGTTATTTTCATTAATATTAAACTAGAAGAGTTGGAAATTCAGTCATGACTCACTGAGACCCAACTCCTGAGTGGTACTATGTAACTGGTTTGCACTGTTGGATATTTTCAATATGGGTCTTTCTTTTGCCTGTTTTGTTTCGAGACAGGGTTTCTCTGTGTAGCCCTGACTATCCTGGAACTTACTTTATAGACCAGCTTGGTCTCAAACTTATAGACATTCTCCTACTTCTGCCTTCCAAGTGCTGGGATTAAAGATGTCCTCTACCATGCCCAGCTTCAAGATGGATCTTTTAACTGGTAGGATGAAATAGTAAATATAAAAGAATATTTTGTTCAAGTGTATGTCTTAGTGAAGGAAGGATAGGTTATGTTTGCTATGGCAACAACTCTAAAATGCCAGTGGCTTAACCCAATCAACACAGGTTTCTCACCTCTATAAAATCAGCTGCTGGCCACCTTCACTCAGTATTAATTCTTCTTGGGCCAATAGTTCAGAGATCCAGGTTGCATTGAGAATGACTGAAGTAACACCATCTTGTGCTGATCATACTCTGACTCCATTTCATGTCTACTCAGAGTGTCCACTACACTTTTGAGCCCCTAACACTCTGAACAGTCATGTCCACCTTGGCAACACATTTAGGACTTTCCATGACCCTGACCATGGCCCAGATGTATAACCAAAATAGATGCTTGATGTATAACCAAAACAAATGATACAAGGTTCTCATGACCTATACCTGACAAGGATGTCATTGTGGTTTTTGCCTTTATAAACACTTGTACCCCTGAGCTTCAGTGCCATGAGTTCTTTGGGGCAAAGGCTTGTGCTAGTCACCAGCTAATAAATGACTCTAATTTGGCCTTATATGCTTGGTGGTCTGAAATTTTCTTGCCTGGACGATAATACTTTGTCCTCCTGGCTCCTTCATCTCAGGAGAAGGCCATGGGAGTAAGAGTCACACACACTGGCTCTTTCATTCTTTGGTCCAGAAGTCACATGTGCACACACATCATCATCTGCACACATACCAAGTCTACCTGGTGCTTCTGAAGTTCATTGGCTTAAACCAATCATATGACCTTATCTAACTTCAAGGGGGTTAAAACTGGGAAGAAAGGGGTTGGAAGGTGAGAGAATGCTTATGCCACAGCATGCTAGCACAGAGCAAACAGTCTTACACTCATGGAGCTTAAGAAGAAATTAATATTCTTATGTGTGTTATATGCACCTCTCTGACACCAGCCCTCCCTCTTCCAGGATTTCAAATCAGAAATAATCATCATCTTGAATTTTATCTCTTCTTGTCTTAATCATTTTAGCTACATGACACTGGTCCTCTAGGCACCAGGTTACTCAGTTTTGGAAGTTCACATCAATGGAAAATCACAAGGTATTCATTTTGTGACTTTACTTTTTATTCAGCATTATTAAAATTTATTCATTTTTTTCTGCACAGTTGCAACTCACTTTTTAGTGTTTTCATAGATTTCCACTGGGGGACTATGATAATCTCCGTGCCCACACCTACCACTGAATGAAGACAATGCCCATACCTAATGCTGAATGGAGGACTACGATGCCCACAAAAACTATTGAATGAAGGGCTACAATGCCCATGCCTACTGTGAATGTAAGACTACAATGCCCATACCTACTGTTGAATGAAGCAATGCAATGCCCACACCATTGGGCTATCTTCAAGTTTGGACATTACCCAGATATTATGTGCTGTGCACATTCTTGTACATGTCTCCTAATGAACTTGAACAAAATTTTCTCTATAGGAAGTCATCCAAAACAGAATATGTGAGGTGTAAGTCAGACATTGGTAAATGTGTAGATCTAGGCATATTTTGATTATACAAAATAGCAGCCTCTAATTGATTATAAAACAAGCAAGAATAAGTTAAACACAATGATTCTCTAGCAATAATTGATTGAAGATATATCTTAGGGTACCTGTAATTTTTGGAAATCTGGCAAATTTATTGTTTGGTTTTTGGCCTCTATTAGTTAACCATACATCATATATTTCCAGGATCGTTACCAGAAGGAAATAAATAAGGTAAAAGTGTAAGGCAAAAATACTCAATTTGAAAACAGGCAGGAGCTAAGAGAAAAGAAGAAAAGATAAGACACACAGAAATTACAATATAAGGTAATAGATAGCTACAATATAAACATAAAACAACTGGGCCCATTTAAAGACAAATATAATTAAATCATTTTTTTAATTGAAGTGCCAACTGTGACCAGAGAGTGTCTTCAACAATAACATTGGGTCCCCAGGCACAGCCCACGAGGGAGATCAACAATTAAGCTGCCTGTTTATGGCTCTTCTACCTCTTCAGCTGATGCTATATTTATTTCTTGAAACCGGTTGCACTTTTCTGCATTTGTGCCTGGACTCTAAGCATTTACACACCACTGAACTTATTTATTTAAATGTTAGCTCCAACCCAACTTTTCAAAACATCTGGTTTCGGTTGCCACTTACAAAATTTTCTCATGAATATAGTAAAAAATTAACTTCTTTTAAAACAACAGAAACCACAACACCCCAAAACTATGATAGATGTTTAGATAGATGTGAGAGATGAGTAGATGTGTTGTTTAACTGGCCCCTGGGTCATGAGAAAAAACGAATTGGACATTGCTCGGGGGCTTAGGCCTAAGCAGTTAGATGGAAGGATTGTTGCCATCTAAGATGAAGATGACTATAGGAACAAGAACAAGATGCTCGGGGAAGTAGAAGAGCATCCAGAAAAGGACTTCTATCTCATGAAAAGTAACCATTCTCTAAAGGTCTGTGAAGAATTTCACAATGAAAAAATCACCACTGAAAATCTAAAGATCATCATTCTGTAAGAAGACCTCAAGGTTAGTTTACTATACAAATTCACCATGATGATTCATAAAAGGCTGTGAGTCTAGATAGTCGATAGCTTTCTTCTGAGTAATCAAAGAATAACATGGCTCTAGAATTCCGAGTAGGATAACAGCAAAGGCCGCTGCACAACTGTATCACAAGGTGAGCAGTGTTCCATGGTGCTGTGTTCAGTGGTGGAGTGCCTGCCTAGCATGTTAGGAAAAGCCATGGTAATTCATAACTGTGACTAATTGAACATTTAATAGGCTAGCTTAATATATAATAAACAAAGATTTAATCAAAGTACCCAATCCAAAAGGATTACAGCGTATTCTGAATATCTGAGCACCTGGAAGGGAAAAAAAACTGTGTTACCATACTGATGAAATAATGACTGCTAATGATATATACATATATACCTTTGAAGACAAAATTGCTGGCATACTGAGTGGAATATCATTGTTTCACAAGCAGTGACTGTTAATTAATTGGCATATTTTATTATAAGGAATTCAGATTCAAATGAATGCAAAAATGTAAAAATTGCAGATTACTCTGTACTTATCTGTATGAATAGCAAATGTCGCATTTTCTGTATCAATTTGAAGTTAGCATTTGTAGATATTTAGGGTAAACCTTACTTTTGAATAGCATTCTAGAAACTGATGTAATCAGGAAACCTGCCATAGTATATAAGCTACCCATGTTACCACACCAACTTCAGCACCCATGACAATTTCAAAAGGGTTAGGCTGGGGTTGCAATACTGTTCGAAAAAAATCTGTATTTAAAATATAACATGGATATACCCTAAGTTACCTAAGGTAACACACCAGTCCTGGCAGAACAACAAATAGTGTGAGGCTAAAAGAATTAATTTCTTGATATCACAGTGACTATTACCTCCACTGTACCACCCTTCTGGATGCTGAAGACAGACACTTATTCTAGGCTATGGAACTGCTAATATTCCAAATCACTTTTTAAAATCTTCTGCTTCAGAAGCTCTCAGGTCTGCCATTTTGATTTTCAGATTCCTGAACCTAATGATGCCAACATGAGAAGAGTCCGTGGTCCTTACTAGTTAAGGAACACCTCTCTTAAAGGGGACAGTCTCATTCCACTCCTTGGCCAGCACCTGGAAGATGGCCACTGTGTGTTCCATCGTGTGTTGAAAGATGATCCAGCAGCCGGAAAGAATTTCCAGGTTACACCAGTGTGTTTCTGTTTGGGGAATATCTCTGTTCTGACATCACTGGGCGGGCAACTTAAGGTTTGGCCAAGATTTAAATAAAGACTGGGGCTCACACCATCTTAAGCAGTTGAAAACTCAGGCTGGTGATAGCTATTTACACATGAAAATTTAGTTTTTAACAAGGGAGTCTCACTAGAAAAAAAAAACTACTCTTAAGGGTAGGCTGCATGTCCAGCAGTAGATGGCCAACAAAAAGTGGACTCAACAGTGTCTTTGGAGCTTCCTTGTCTCACAGTGTCATGTCTGGGCTTAGCCTTTGTTGTTGTTGTTGTTGTTTAATTTTATTTTATTTTATTCTTATATATATATATATATATAAGAATTTTATTCATATATATATATATATATATATATGTTGCTTTTAGACTCTAAGGAGATAATAAACTCCCTGAGAGAGAATAAATGAAGCAACAGCTTTGACACCCTTGCTATTAGCAGATGGGTATTTAGACCATAAGGAGATAGGACACAGGCAGAGCCTAGTGACCTCTCTGAAGTAAGATGGATCCAGGATTAGGCAGACAGGATCAAAGAGCTCGATTTTGAGAGAGAACAGGGAAGTGGGTGGAGATCTGAAAATTAGGTTCCTTTCAAGGTTTTCTTTAAATATTTCTTAATATGGACATATAAGGAAATCACTTAGGGCTAGGGAAAGAGAGATTTCAAAAGGATTAAAGTGAAAATATCTGGTGCTCAAACAGAGCTGGAAGTAATATGTCCTCAATAGCCAGAAGAGAAAAAAAAAATCTCATATTATGTGGGGACTAAAGGGAAAAAAGCATTTCCTAAAGAGCAGGAAAGATATATCCACAAACTAAAGGCTACTTTGACTCTCCCAGGCAAAGGTGACAAGCGATCCTTGAAAGACTATGTTCAAACCCTAACACAAAATTAAAAGGTGTTTATAAGAACACAAAATAACCCAGCACTCAAAAAAGTAAAATCCACAAGGTTTTGTATCAAAGCAATACTAAAGGGAACATAAAATGAGGCCCTAAAAAACAAACAAAAGCAACCAATGGAAAATGATCCCCAAACTGCACAGGTGATGGGATGGCAGAATTAATTAGAAAGGTACAGAAATAACTTCAGTAAAGACATCCTGAATGTTCATGAAGGTTAAGGCCACTAAGAAATTGGAGTGATGACAGGACATGATCTACAAATTGATCATCTAGAGGTAGAAAGTAGGGCCTATGAGGAGAATTTATTGGTTGGGATCACTACAGATTTGATAATGCAACAAAGGACATACGTGAACTTGAAGTCATAGCAATAGAAACTCTCCAGAACAAAGCACAATCTTAACAAAGAAAAAATACTGAATAGCGTATGAATGAACTATAGAAAAATATCAAGCAGCCCAGTTTGCATGTGATTAGAGTCTTTGAATGAAAGAAGAATAAGTGGACCAGAAAAAAAGAAAAGAAAGAAAGAAAACTAGTTGAAGAAACAATGCCCCAAATCTTCTCAATAATATTTGATGAAAATAAACGGAACCAAGAAACTGACAGGGTCCAAACTGTAATATTCACCAACAGAAGTGTCTAGTTAGTCTTCTACTGCTGTGATAAATACAGTAACCAAAAGCAACTTGAGAAGAAAAGGGTTTATTCAGTCACCTAGGGAAGTCAGGGAAGGAACATGGAGGCAGGAACTGAAGCAGATACCATGGAGGAGTGCTGCTTACTGGCTTTCTCTCCATGGCTTACTGAATCTGCTTTCTTACACAACCTAGGACCACTTGCCCTTAGGACTGTTTCATTTTTTTCTTCCAAGCATTTCCTGTGAATGACTGCATTGTCTCTCACTAAATCTGGGTCAACTTTGAACTTCTCTTTTACAAGTTTATATATCTAGTATAGAACCAGATGAAGACTTCCTTTTATTCCAATAAAATATTGGTAGAAATTTACCTATTATCTATCCCAGTGCAGTCTCATGAATGATACTCAAGTAACATGTTCAGAAATTTCATATCTGTATCAGTCAGGATTCTCTAGAAAGATAGAATCATTGAAGTGTATGCATGCGTGCATGCGCGTGTGTGTGTGTGTGTGTGTGTGTGTGTGTGTGTGTTATAAATAGATTCATTAAACTGACTTACAGAATTCACTCTGGCCTGAGTAGTCCAACAATGGATATCAGCAGACTGGAGAAGTTGAGAACCTGGTGACAGCTCAGCCGACAGGGCTGGATGCCTCAGTACTCCCAAACTGGTGCTGAAACCCTGGAGGATTCCTAGTAAGCCATTGGTCATCCTCTATGTTGGCAGGCCAAAGAGGCTGGGTTCTGATGTCATTGAAGGCAGCAGTGACAGGATTGATCTATTAACCTGCAAGGGACAGTAGGCAGAAAAAAGCCATCAGCTCTTCCCTCAGGCTTCATTATATCTAGGATGTCACTGAATTATGCCATCTACTCTGGGGGAGGGTCTTGCCTCCTCAGTCAATCATTTCTAAAATTGTATCCACAGACCTGCTCAGAGACATATCTTAGCTGTCTAGACCCAATCAAGTTGACAATCATCTTAGTATCATTTCTGTAAAATGTTCTCACACTTGTACTCATAGCTGTAAAAAAAAAAAAAAAAAAAAAACAAGAAATTTCCTGATTATATACTGTATACCATATAAATCTTTCTTTTTTCCTATTTAATTGAACATTGTATTTGACTGGAGCCCTATGCCTATTTAATGAATTGCTAACATCATATTATATCCAAACATCATATTTGGATATAATTAAGTTAAATTGTGATATTTCTCTAAAAATTTTATTGCATTTATTTTTTATTTTTCTATATCACATTTATATTATAACATTTTAATAATTATAATTTGGTATATTTATATCTTATTGTATTTAATAATTTTATTATATTTAAGGATTACATTGTGTATTAATATTTTATAGTATTTTTCTATTTTAATTTTACTACCTTTATTTATTTTTATACGTGTGTGTATGTGTGTGTGTGTGTGTGTGTATGTATGTGTGTGTGTGTGTACAGACATGCATGTATGGTGGTCAGAAGACAACATATAGGAGTTGGTTTTCTCCTTTTACTATGTGGAACTGAGGTCATCAGGCTGATGACCATTGCTTTTACCTGCTGAGCCAACTTACTGACAATTACTTCTATTCTTTATATAAATGACACAGAAATACTTATATTCAGCCTTTGAATGTCAAATGGAGTTTTAAAGTACACCCAACGATATTTTATCAAGGACCATGGTCTTAAAAACTTCATCCCATCTTTGATTAGGATGTAGTGTAGCATCGCTTATTAGTTGTATAAGGATGTAAGGTTTTTTCTTTTATTTTGAGCCAACATAACATTTTCATATTCACCATGGAACTGCTGACTGGATTTCACTGAGTTATACACAAGCAACTTCATAACTTATACTATAATTGTTCTGTTCTTGGTCTTGCTCTAGAAGTCGCTAACCTATCCATCCCTTTTCTGAAAATAAAAATAAAACTTGCTTTTGAGTAATTTCCTTTTCTGTCTGTCTAAAAGTCATTTTGTGACTCAACCTCTATATTCTGGATAAATATACTCCAGTGCTGAAAATCAAGCAGGGGCTGAGTTCTCAAGCCAGTTGGTCCCTGCTCATATTCATACCCACAGGACCTTCTAGCTCATCAGAACAAGCCATTTCATTTCCATTTTCAAAGAATTTCATTTACTTACAAGTTTTAAGTTGATTTTTTGATGACTGAGATATATTGCTAAAATATTAGGACACATGAAAATGAAAAATGTATGTCTGAAAAATTCTGATGCTATCAAAGTCATAATTTTCATGAATTATAAACTAACATAAAATAGAAAGTGTAGGCAAAACCATGAGTTAATTCTTGGAATGAGCTATTAAATTTGCAAGCTTCTGATAATTTTGAACAAGGAATATATTTTTTAAAGGCCCAAATTACTGCAAATTAGTAAATGGTTATAATCCAGAGGTCTTTTGAATTCCAAGAACATATCTATAGCAGTCTATGTCATTTACACATTATTGTCATGTATTTTCTTTCTTTTAAAATTTATTTTGTGGCATATGTATGTAGGATGTATGTGGGGTATGGCTGTGCGTGTATGTGCATTCATGTGTGTGAATGAAGAGGTGGGTGTGACATGGTATGCTTGTGAAGTTCAGAAGTCAACCTCAGATGTCAGCCCTCACCTTCCATCCAGTTTGACAAGATATCTTTGTTGTCAGCAAGCATTCCACTAATCTTCTAGCTCCATCTCCCTGTATCAGTGTTTGGATCATAGACACTCATACTACAAGTAGAGGTTTTGCATAGGTTTTGGGGGTTTGAACTTAGCAAACACTTTTCTTCACTGAGCCATCTTCCTACCCAACATTATTTTAATGTTATTTTTCTTAATTCACAAACACTCTTGCTACTTACTGTCTCAACAGTGATCACTGTTGTCTACTCACATTCATATATTTGTCACTTTATCTACTTTTCATTCCTTATTATATCTCATAATTTCCTTCAAGATGACATTTCTTTCACTTTAAATATACTCTTAATATGTGATTGGCAGAAAAATGTCCACTCCTAAAGACACCCATACTCTAATGTCTAGAATCTATCAATAGATTATATTGTATGCCAAAAGGGCATTTACAGGTATAATTGGGGTTATAGTTTGGTACTGTTCTACAGTATCCAGGTGGGTCCAAGCTCCAGGCAGGTCCAATATAACCATAAAAGGCTTTGAAAACAGAAAACTTTCTCTGTCCCTAGTGAAAGACATGCACATGGAAGAAGAGAGTTGCAGGAAGTCTGAAAATTATCAGCATGAAAAAAATGTCCCAGTCTATTGCTGGCTCCAAGATAGGGACACCTGGGTCTAAGAACCAGAGAGAGGCCTCGAGGAGATGGGGCTGTGTCCAGGTGCCAACCAGCAAAGGAGGGAGAACTCCAGACCCAGAGATCAAGATTACACTAAAAATTGTAATGAGCTTATTACTGGAGTCTGCCCAAAACACAGCTCACAACAGCATGTCACTTCAACTCCAGAATATCTGATGCCCTCTGCTGGCCTCCCAGGGCACCTGTACATATATGGCAGATGTCTAG